CACAATCCTGCAAAACAAACTCAAACCCACTATTACACCATCTCACAGGGCTAGAGGTACAAGAGCTCTCACACGTGCTCTGTGCTTAACCTTGCAATATGTGCTGTAACCAAAACAGCTCAAACGGCACTCACACTATTGTCTAAAAGAGGCTGTGCAGTTGTTGCATTCAGTGGCCCTCAAAAGGTAGAACATTATTTTTTTGTGCGATGCAGTGAAGTGTGAAGTTTGTGTGTCCCGTCTATATGCCAGCACACAAGTGAATTGCTACAGTTTGGCAGAGAGAAGCATGGGAAACATGTACAAGCTTCTTTGAGTGGATTGAATTAAGCCATGAAAGAGATTAATCTGTTTTTATTTTTAGACACATTAAAGGGTGTGCTGACATTTTTACAAGTCTGTCTTAAAGAAAAAAACATTTCAGATAACGACGAGTGAAATGAATAGATTTTGTTTCCTGTCCCTTAAACAGAAATAACAGAAGTGATCTCTTTATAGCCAGCATTAGCAGAAGAGGCTCTATTGGCAAAGAGCTGAATGTGATGAATGCAATCATGACAGTACTTCAAAAATTAAAAAATCAATTCTGGTTCAAACCAGTATTTAGCAATTTAATTATCGTCAGTCATTTGGTCAAGGGATCATTTAAGTAAACTTTTATTTAGCATCGATGAGTATTTTGCCAAAACTAGACTAAGATTCTACCGATTCGAAAGCTAAAGGTTCATGCTGGAATGCTAACGTGCTAATTTCTACTCACTGTTGAAGCACATTAGCAAGCCAAGTGTAACACCCTTTTCAATAGTTGGGATACAGATTTTAATAATTACATGAGTACCAATTGCTAAGGTTCGACTGCTGGAGCAAAGTGGATGAATGAGTTTGAGGAACTTTTATTCATTTGGATAATATGAATAATAACTTACATATACAATAAAAAACAATAGCATTACATAAAAGGAAAAATGGGCCCAAATAATGGAAAACAATAAACAAAACATACCTCCAGGGGATTTGACTCAGTGTCTCTAGTGTCAGCTGACACCTCTTATTTGAGTGAGTCCAGCAGTAAAGTCTCTCCTTGCAGGATGTGCAGAGGAACAATGAAATGCAGTTCTCTCCAACCACTTAAGTAGAATTTGTACATTTCAAAGTCCATCCAAAGAATTTCAATTTATTTTGAGATCATACATGTTAAGGAATCCTGGAGGGGTGGCTTGCCATCTTTGGACCGGGTCATCAATGAGTCATTCATCAAAAAAATGTTCAAAACTTGTTAGAGTAACATTAAAAAAGAATCTGCTGTTTAGACATTCATACATACTTTCTTTCTTATCTTTTCTTCATACATACTAGCAACAGCAATAGCTGCTATAGCCATTAGCACATCATTGTTGATGGCTTAGCTTGTTTCTGAACAAGAATGTTGAGAAGTTAACTCACCCAGAAGAGTCCCAGCAGTTAGAAAACTCTCCTCCAACTAAACAACGGTTGCCTGAAAGTTTGTTTCCTTAGCTTCCTCAGCAAAATCCAACAAAAGAAGGCAAACACGTTTCTCTCTTGGGGCTCCCACTTTATATATTTCACAGATCATCAGGTTTGTGAAGTATATAGATTATATCTCACCAAAATAATTTTACTTAATAAAACTTTTTAATTAACTCAGCATTTCAACCTCACTCATAATTGAATGAAACCCTTAATAATGCTCTAGGGTTACTCAAGATTTTGCTAATTAGCATTCGGGCATTTTTCAAAGCACACATGGGAAATCAAAGTATTGTACAAACTGAAAATTTGAGCTGTTAATGCCAATAAGTGACAAGGTAGAGGTTTGCCAAAGTAGCATAGTTTGTCCGGAGTAGGATCTTAAAATCTGAAGCAAATCAGCGAGCCATGTAACAGCTGAGATACTTTACTTAAAAAATGATTCTACTCACTCAGAGTCTAAGTACCACATGAGACGTCCATCCATTCATTAATGTCTCTTAATGTCTTTAAACACTTATCCACTTCAGGGTCAGTGGGGGCTGGAGTCTATCTCAGGGGACAATGGTCAACAGGCAGGGTACACTCTCGACAGGCTGCCAGTGGTCACAGGCCTAAAAAAGAGATAAAGAAAATCATTCACACCTTTGGCCAATTTAGAATTACCACTTAACCTAACAAGCATATCTTTAGACTGTGGGAGGAAGCCCGAGCACCCAGAGAGAAATTTTCACATTTATACTGCAGGAGCCACTTCTATTATCATTGTGCATTACAGGCAAAAAATACTACTCAGTTTTCATTGAGAGCTGGTACTTCTAATACTCTTAATACTCTTTTTTATGATCTCACTGTATCGGACAGACTTTATCTCATTGTTAGTGTCATCCATCCATTCCCTTCTGCTTATCTTTAGAAGGGTCATGGGTGTGCTGGACCCTAACCTAGCTTCCATAGGGCAAAAGGTGGGGTACAACCTGGTATGGTCGCGAATCTAACACAGGGCTGACACAGAGAGACAGACTGTTAGTTTGCTGTCATTTCAACGAGATTAATGCTGTTTAATTCTTGTTGGCCATTAGCTGAGGTGCTGCATTGTATCCTGCAAGGACCACGAAAAACAAGGGGAAGTAAATATTTTTTAGACAAAAAATCCGAGTCCGAGTAAAGTCACAAGTCTGAAACTTTGAATTTCAAGTCCTTTCGAGTCTTTAAAAAAAAAACAAAAAAACGAAGAATGTTGCAGTTATATGCTAAATGTAAATATTAGACCATGTCATTTTTAAATCTGTGTTTTTTTCTCAACACATGACGAAACATGACGAACTTAGAAAATATACGCAAATTGTGAAATTGCACCTCTATAAAATGCAGCTCAATTAAACTTAGCTCCAAGAATAATTTTCACCGACAGTTCTGAGATAAGCTGCATGGTATTCTTGGATGCGCTTGTAGGGCCAGCTTTAAAATCACATGACAAAAATATCATACACATTAAAAAAAAACTGTATCACCAACGTAGCCTGGACAAGATTTGCTTGTTAGATGAAGTCATGATCTCATCGTAGCAAGAGAGAAGCACCACCTACCGTTCTTTATGCAACTTCAACTGTCGGAGAAAGTTGGAAGTTGTTCCATCTCTGTCTGTGATTCTCTTCTTGCATGTTTTGCATATTGCATTTCAGTTTTTTGTTGACTACTTCATAGTTTATGTACCTGAAAAAAATAACTCCTAATTTGATTGACTGTGCTACAGCTCACGCACACATACATACGGAGTGTGGTTTGAATAAATGAATCAATGAATTGAATTAATGGTGCACACTTTCTATATAATATGTATGTTAAATCTTATATTTGGGGTGAAATATCAAGTCTTTTCAAGTAAACCGGTTCAAGTCCAATTCAAGTCCCAGGTCATTGGTGTAAAAGTCCAAGTCAAGTCACAAGTCTTAGAACATTTTTTCAAGTCAAGTCTAAAGTCATAAAATTAATGACTCAAGTCTGACTCGAGTCCAAGTCATGTGACTCGAGTCCACATCTCTGATAACTAGTCTAAACTAAAACATTGGGTCACTTTGTCAGACTATACGTCAGACTATACAACTTAGCTAACTGGCAAATCAGTAAATGTTAACCGTAAAATAATTTCACATCCAAAGTTATATGAATGCTTTATTTTTGTTTTGAACACATATCATAGTGTTATTTTCCTTCAAAATTTCAGCTTGTCTCAACGTCATAAATGGCCTGTTTAATGGATTCCTGAATGCTGCAAAGCTGAGAAAACAACACTGATCACTTCATTGGAGCTGAAAGAATGTGGACTACTTTTAGCTCCCACTGGTGCTTTGGTCCTTCTTTGTTCATGAGAATAGAAACAGCATTTGGGCCCATAAATTCCCAGTTATATCAAGTTAGAACAAGCGGATAGCAGTGGAAGCCCCATGGAAAAAAAAATTTTTTTAAATTCACTTTATGTTGAAACCAGGTCACCACGTATGGAGTTAAGACGAAAATCCATAGAGAATATTGAATGAAACACAAGATTAATTTTTAATTTAACATTTGTTCACTAACATGAACCATCCATCCATGTATTTTACTTCTGCTTATTCAAAGTTGCATCCTGGTTGAAGAAACATCCTATTCCCCAGCAATCCTTTACAGTTTCTCTTGGAGTATCCTCAAGACACTTCTGGGTCAGATGAGGCAGTCCTGGTCTACCATTAGTCATCGCAATGGCTCTGCTGTCAAACAATCAGAGATTGTCTTCTGTTTTTTTGTTTTTTTTTTAAATCATTCTACAATGCATCTTTTGTCCTGTCTTACCCCCATCACTCCAACCGGTCACGGCAGATGGCTGCCCCTCCCCGAGCCTGGTTCTGCCAGATGTTTCTTGAGGTTAAAAGGGAGCTTTTCCTTCTCACTGTTGCCAAGCACTTCCTCATTGTTGGGATTTTTCCTCTATTATTGTAGAGTTTACCATAGAATGTAAAGCGCCTTGACTGCCAACTGTTTTGGAGATTTGAGCCCCAGCAACCCCGGTATCGGGAGGGGAGGGGGCACAAGGGGCGAGATTCCGTAATAGGCTGGAACTTGAAGTCGTATCCATAGAAACCTCTGAATCTCACCTAAACCTCATATAAACCATTTCTACAACCACCAAACACACACGCAACCAGTTTTTGCTTTGTGCAATCGTTTCAAATGTTGTTGCCAAGCAAAATAACCCAAGATCCTATGTACCGCCTGGAAATGCTATTAATTGCCATGGTAACCAGAGCTGCTCCAGGAAACACTGTGGAGCTGTTCTGACTTTAAGGGTGTTAGTCTTTCTCTTCTAGGTGAACGATGAAGTGAATGATGACGACTGTTCTTTGCAACTTGACTATATATTTGATTCTGGGGTCTGACTATGTTGCAGGTTTACACTTCAGGATGAAAAAACTTGACAAATGTTACATTCATCTACAATATGTGCTCACTTTTATTCCTTCTGGCTTTTGCAGAGAAACCAACAGTCATAGATGTGGGCATCTATATCAACAGCATCGGCCCTGTGTCATCCATTGATATGGTGAGTTATGGCTTTATCTCCATCGTCTGCCCCATCTGCACACAAACACATTTGTCCACTGCCCGATATTAGCATCATCAGACACGAAAGCTGTCATTCCTCATGCTGTATTTGGAGGCCACGTGGCCCATCACAGCTGTTTGTGTTGCGGCAGAAGCCAAGAAAGACAGGTGTGGACACTCTTTTTGTTTCCCTATGTCCTATGAATAAGCTTGAATTCATCAAGTTGGTGAGTTTAAAATTGCTGCTATGAAAGTATTCTGCTATTCAATTAGACAGCAGTTTGGGTCTCAGTAGAGATGAGCCTCATTTTATTCCAGTTTTCTTCATTTAGTTACTGCATCTTTTTGACTGGCATGAAAATCACAAGAACAAAGTTCAACTGTGAGGGGGAAAAATGGGTTTGGAGAAAGACCAGGACATGGATCAATGGCTTTTTCATAATGGAGGGTCTGATCAGATTCAATAAAACATATGAAGAGCTGAAGCTGAAAAGTTGATGAGCAGTAATGAGAAAATAGCTACTTTTAAGACAACTAAACACATAAGCAGTCTGTTATTTGGCCTTCAGTGGAGTGCAGCAGACTAAATGGAAGCAACCTCCTATTATTTTGAATCCAAAGGGTCTGTTCTGCCGCTGTCAATAGAGTCAGATATGCATATTTTTCTCCTTTAATTTCTGTCTTCCAATATAAAAAATGTATTGGTTTACAAACAGACTAAATGATGAAAGTACTTCATCTGAACCTGCTCAGTCACAATATGCTTAGCTGGAGCAGTTGACTGGCGGTGTAAAATATTCCCAATTATAAAACAGATGCAGCCTTTTTGTATTCAAGCCCAATGGACTACATTTTAAAAGAGTGCACTGTACAAAGTTGTTTTAAGTCTACCTATTACACTTTCACTGTGGACTCCCACAGCAGAGGATGTTTAGGTTTTTTCTGAAAGTGAAAGTGGATAAATTCAATTTGGGATGCAAAATGGTGTTGCTGAACTCACAGTTCATTAAGTTGATTTTCTACTTTGTACTCCAAGGACCCGGCAGGACTCGCACAGTCATTTTGAAAGATAGTCTTTGGAACTATTACTAAGGTTACCAAACTGTGACCAAACCAAATGCCAGCTAGGGCCAGTGTTTGAAACTTCTTGTCCCGGTTGATTTGCTAACACTTCTGCTTGGTGTGTTAATGCAACTGAAATGGGGAGGAAACAAGAGTGCCTAATTTGTCACGAACAGTACAGAGAAGCACCTAATGCAACATATTACGGCTCAGCCAAACACATGTCCACTGTTTTGACAAAGAGGTTAGTCTACAGTAAGCCTTTTTTTTGTCATTGTATAATCCATAGCTATGTTATTTTCCTCTGCCTTCTTCACAGTAAAAGCCAACCTGTATTTCAGCAGATGAACTCTTTTAATATATAACCCTCTGAAGTTCCCTTTTTAAAAGGCACAATTCAGTTACTGTAAATATAGCTTCAATATAGAGCGTTAAACTGATGGGCTGCCTGTAGAGTTTATAGCTATTGGTAATTTCCAACCCCAGATGATGGCCAGTAACTGAAAAATCTAACTACATGTTGGGTCGACCAAGCCTGCAATGAGTGAATGGCATGGAAGGTTAAAATGAGTTTCTGGTTATGCTGTAGATTTCTTGCAGAAGTCTAAATCAGGTATTAGTGTTTGGAGAGAAGGACCATTAAGTACGTTTTGATGTGTGTCAGACTATTTATTTGTTCAAGGTTCAAGGTTCAAGGTTCTTTATTATTTGTCACATGCATAGTTATACAAGTATAACACACAGTGAAATGTAGCCTGACACGCTCCTCGACATGTGCAAAAATTGGGGGGGG